CTGAATTAAGTACATATGCGGGCAGGCGGGGGGAGGGTTTGTTCAAAGCGGTTGGTTGCCCGGGCAAAAAAGTGGAGTTAGACAGACTTTCCTGCACAATCGTCGATCTGTGTGATAACATTTTTAGCCTCGTAACCACCACAACTATTTATGCACTGTCATGGTCGGAACAGCTAGATTTTACCTGTGAAAGAAACATGAGGAGAACGTTTTGCTATGAACCCATTAGGACCTTGAACACAAACTAACAAGGTCTCTCGATACTCTTAAAAAAATGAGAACGATGTAACTCCTCAAAGTTGGGGGAAAACGCAATCCCAGGCAAGACTGAGTATAACAAGTGAGCACTCAAAAACAGGAATGTCTGACTGTAATTGCAGCATGCTTAACTGGTGAGGTTAACACTGATTCCTATCGATGGGCGAGAAATAATCCTCCCCCCACCCCACCCCGGGAGCTTTTATCACTCAGCGCTTCCGATCAATTTTCGCGGTTTTCCCTCACCACCATGAGCAATGGGCGCTCCAGTTGTACTATAGAACGTAGACTAACAGTATCTGAATTCAAATGATGGAAAGGCTACCGAAAGGAATATCAGTTTTTCAATGGCCACCAGCAATGTACTCTGAAGTAGTGTGAGTAAAGAGAAGAAAAGCAATATTAGATCGCACCACAACACTGTGTGCCTTCCGGTATTAGGGAACGTACAGTGCAGCCATTAATTCTGCGACACAGGACTGGTCGAGCATGTGCTAAGAGCCACAAAACGGAGTTTTAGTAATGTGGGATGGTTTGGATCTACACACACCCGTAGTCTCTCGCGGTACTGTGCATAAAACCTGTACATTGACTTCAGCAGAGGTAGCGAGGGACATTCAGAGGACAAATATTTTTATTTCCCTGAATTGGTGACTACACAGTATAGCTCTTTTAATTGATTAATTGACCCGTTCATCCACGAACGACTGTGTAATTTAGGAAAAAGGTTACCGAAATCAAACCCGTCCACAAAACGTTTCTCTTCTTATACTGAAAAAGTAAAGAAATAAACGACAGTTAAAACAAAACAAGAAAAAAATCAGCGTTTGGGTTCGCCGATCTACTTTGGTGGTAGGCGATTAAGGTATTCACCATCGACACTATGCGTAAACAGACGAATACGGTTGGCGAATAGTTAAACAGTCCAGCAGGCTCAAAACGAAATGGTGGGGAAGGGGCAGTCGGGAGCCAAAGGGTGAAGTTGTCCGACATTTGAATTTCGAATTGTGCTAACAGATTGACACGGTTGATGGATAACCCCATGACGGCCGAAACAACCCCACAGTGAGCTTCGCATTTCCAGTTTACTCTCATTGATTGGTGAGTGTCACATTTCGCTTTATGAGCGCACTTATGAACCCAAGGGACTCTTTCCAGAATGAATCGGTTAGCTATGAAATCAAGGTAGAACGGTAATATGCGTTACATGCTGATATGATCTAGTTCATGATTTGGAGACTACGGGTACTTAAGACTTTGGGGCACAACATAATTCGCGGTAGATTGTCGGTGTTCGAACACCGCTACTTCGCATTGCACGAGTCTGGTGAGGAAACCGCACGAGTAATGCTGAGATTAGGCGTAGAGTTTTAGGTAATCGTGACCGTTCACTGGAGCAAATGGTCGACCTCTATAGATTACGCTGGTTGGGACACGTGCTGCGCATGCCACGATATAGGATGCCACGGCGAGCGATGTTTGTCAAGGTAGGTAGCGGATGGAAAATGCCAAAGGCGGTCAAACTTAGACCTGGCATGAGGGTGTGAAAACCCTAACCAGGAGACTGGGTCACATAGGTCCCGTTAGGCTCCCTGGCTGGGGACCTCGGGATGATGGTCACCGATGGTTAGAGACACTGAGTGATATGGCTGGGTATCGCAAACAGTGGTGCTCGTGCAACTACTCATTATGCTTGTAACTCCAGTCTTTATGAATTCACTATATTCCTCTTGAATCTGCTTTCAACATTCCAATCTTCATTCTGCTCCTTGATTCAAATGGGCGACCAAAAGACAGCTACCAAAACCGGTGCGCAAAAGGGCTTGGTTATTGGTTGTAAAAACTGAGCTGAAAACTTGGAGACTACGCTCGGATGAACAAAAAGCCATAGACTAGATTATGAAATATTCCATAAAAACGCTCAGGTCACATTTGTTGCGATTAGAAGCATTTGACCCGCCTAAAACATCGAATCATGGTATTCAGCGGACTGACTGAAAGAACTGTGCATCAAAAATAACCCGATGTTGCAAATGGGGTTATTGTGACGAAAATACACTTCCGGAGTACAAGCATGTGAATGGATTGACAAAATATTAACGGATACGCATGCCTGACAGAGCGGAGAGAAGCACATTACCGGTGGTGTGCTTCAAGAGAAATTTTGCCGAGTCATTCATACACTACTTATTATGAATTATTTATCTACATCAGTAGAATGGATAGTGAAAATAGGCACATAATTGTTCCGGTGACAAAAGAGTAGTGACACTAGAACAGCCTAGAGGTCAGCCCCAACCCGGCGGCTCTATTAAGATATTTTCTTTAAGATGGTGGTGAGGGAAAACCGCGAAAATTGATCGGAAGCGCTGAGTGATAAAAGCTCCCGGGGTGGGGTGGGGGGAGGATTATTTCTCGCCCATCGATAGGAATCAGTGTTAACCTCACCAGTTAAGCATGCTGCAATTACAGTCTGACATTGCGCAAGTGTGAGTGACTACGAGTTGTCATTGGGTAACCAGTCCACAAATTCCTTTAGTTCATTGAGCGCATATGAAGATGATCAAAGTAGTTCAACAGAGATGACGGTCTGGATGGTTATTTCTGTATCACCAATGCAGTCGCAAATCGGGATACAAACAACATTAAATATGTCAGAAGTGTCGGCCGATAGTATTGATTGCGCGTTGCTCCGATTCAATGAATTAAATTTTAAACTCATATAGAATGCCGAATTCGACGATAATGTGTTCAGCGACTGTTCCCTGTATCACCAAGACTGAAACACACGGTACACCAAGTAGTCTGATTGTGCTTCGGACATCCCGGTGCAATTACTTAAAAAAAAAACGTTATAATTGAAACGTTTCAGCTACAACCATTACCCGGAAAAACGGAAGACATTCAACGGCAGCAGCTTGCTAGTAAAGTTTACGGAAAATCCCATTCAGCATAATTCATCTGGAATCGGTCCTTTACGCAGTAGAATAGCTTCTCGTTGATGTGCCCAGATAAATAAGCTTTGATCAGTCTAGTAGACACAAAACGGCTTTGGACGCGGAGATAGAAACGAACTGATGAAAATTATATGCATGTTGACCATACTGGTAAACAGTATATGAACCCTCGCTGAACATTTCTTTACCAATGCTGTGGTTTCCAAGAGAACAAGGCAAATGGTGAATGGGATGGCATAAAAACAAATCACACAAATACATATACATACCTCTTGTTCGCCCTGGACCAGTGCGCGTGGTGTCCATATTCGTGATACTCATGTCCAGGGTGTTTTTCGTCGTATTCAACCGATCAGTCACACGAACAGTATCCCCGAGTAAGTTGGTTTGGTCTGCAAACACCGAGTTCGATTTGGTCTGAGCACCGGCCGTTTGAAGTAGTTCAGCTCGACGCACTTCTAATGCACACAGCTGGGCAGGACTGAGGGACCACGAATAAAGGGGATCGTGGAGTAGCACCTAAAGGGCAAATGAAGGTCGGTTGTACACAGTCTTATGGTAAAAAATAATTAAACAAATAGGAGAATTTTACACACCGACTCGTAAACATCAGTGCTCTTAAGAATTAGTATCAAAGAAAAGTTCATATGTTGCCCATGGGTACGATACTGATAGGTTATCCAAGTCAAAGTAGGTGAATTTTCTTAAGGAATTTACAACCGAAACAACTACGACCCGATACACCCATCCGTAATCGTCATGAAACTGGTTACCCTGTCTTGCGCCTCATGAACCCCTCCTATACAACGAAGTGTCGAAATTGCTTCTGCTGAGGAAGCTCTACTCACTGCCTACATATAGCGAAGACGTTTTTCCGGCAAAGAGGGAGCACGAAGAGGAGGACGAAAAACCAAGGTCCGGGGCTAAAACTGAATTGGTGAACCGCCGCAGTTCATCGACGGGAATTAGTAAAAAAACCTTGATTTCAAACCAACCAAGAAGAGGTGTACGAACCATACCCACATTCCTGGTTGCGGTAGTGATCACACCTCGATTGGACATCGAAAACTACCGGGTACTTTGGACGTCTGACTCCGTCCAAACGGTGAACTGGATACAGGTCGTCAATGGATTAGGGTTTTTATACACCGCCCCGATGGCTAGCGAGTCAGGTGTTAGCTAGCAGATGGCCTCCGGTGGTGAATACCCCGAGAAAATTCACCTGCTTCGGCTTGGGCAACATGAAAGTATTCCGTCCACGAGAAAATCATGGACTTATTTCTCCCCTATAACGATTCCTGAATCGGAATTTTTGGCACAGTTTGGACTCAGACAAGTGTGAAATATAATAATAATAATAATAACAGTTTGATATTTCGTCTCAGATAATTATTCCCAACCAATCTGACCAATTTATGGATTTCACCGAGGATTTTCGACGACCTTGAGTGAAGGTGCGAGTGTTTCTCTTATGTATAGTCATCATCATCATCTTACAGCGAAATACAGTGAAGCGAATTTCACTGACCGCTGCAAAACTCGAAATGTATGAAAAGTTAGTGTCAATATGTAAGGTGAATAGGGATTGGACCTATTTTGAGGGAGGGAGAAGGTGAACCTCTATGGTCAATACAGAGAGAACAAAATCTGACTACACATACATACCTTTCCAATCATTCTGGTCTGATAAGAAATGAGAACAAGAACGCCACTACTGTCGGTTCGCTGCCATATCCTTCAACGTCCCCATAAAACCGGCTGTGGTCTTTAGGCCCCCAACACGGAAGGTGCGAGAAGCCTACTCTACCGAATAGTTCTGTGCATTTCTTCATGCTTCGTCTCCACGTTATTTGTTGAGTTCCTCCAGCCCGGAGCGGCTACAGCGAATAAGGCGCGATGTGGTAGACGGTAGCTGGGCACACGGAATAGCCAGTGAAGCCTACTTAGGTGAATTCGATGAATCAGCAGTTTTATCCCAGATAAACTTCCAAACACACGACGGCTTACCTCCACATTACCAAACCGTTCGCTCCATCCCACGTGGGCTAAACTGCGTAACCACCGATAGTCCAACACTCCTAGTCGACGGATATCTTTTACTCGCAAATTCAAGGTCTCGCAAACTACAAGACAGAACTGAACGATCGCTAACACAATATACACCACCTTTCAACTTCAGTGAAACATCGTTGAAAGGTCACGTATATTGTGATCGACCTTTTATGAATAGGCCAATAAAATCTCGTCGAATGGTTGTCTTGGTTACTTCTGGACCGCCGGCACATTACTTGGTTCGGATCATTTTAGCAATGCTAAGCCTCAAGGCAACTTCAAGCAAGAGATCAGTACGAAGTTTTCGCCAACCCGAATCTTCGTGATGTCGGAGAGGCATCAAATCAAATTCGACATTTCAGGCCTACCGACCCAGGGTCGGTAACAGTACAGCACGGTGGAACCGATCGGCCTACGATCGCATTCGAATGCACACGCACGCGAGAGACAGACGGCGGAACAAAGCACTGCATTCCGTGTCAGAACGACAAAACAACACGCGCACGCGCACACACGCACACACTTGTGGGTGCATGCATCCGTACCTGGAGCAGGGTGAGAATCACTTCCCCACCTGTGCGAAGTGTGGCGAGGACAGTTTCCGCAGCGGGCACAAACCCGGCCTGTAATCCGAGCGGTCCGAGAGCATGAATGAGGTCTCGGGTCAGTCGAAACGGAACCATTTCGGGTGTGGGCAACAGACGACCCTGGGGGAAATCAATGGGAGGAGGGAGGGGCAGGAGTGGAAATGAGATTCACAACTTGGACAGGACAACGAGATAAGCATCAACACATCGCAGATTTGGTACCGATAAAGCTCAAATGTGCGAATACGTGTCACATTGATCAGACCCACTGGATTCCGGAAAAGAGATGTAACAGGGGCACCAAACAGCACTACTGTGCTATTGATGGTCTCCTGGACATTCTGAAAATTAAACAACTGGTCAGAGGTACCCTATTCAAGAGACAACCAGAACGTGTCAAAACCATAAGGAACATGATTCAATCTAGTATTACGATCAAGGTGAAACGAATAAGTGAATATATCAACNTCAACAAAATAGCCAATCGATAGACCAGTAAGTTGATTAACCAGATTCCGAATATTTCGATCGGTGCCCAAAAGGAGTACCACACGGAATTCCAAACAAACACGCTGAAAGTTTAGGGAGAAACGGATAGCCGAGACACACGCATATCATGCGGTCGTACTCTATTACAAAGTCGATTCACCTCACCGATTCAGATGTCAGTATAGATCTGTCCTCATTGATTAGTTCGTTGACTGTCCAGCTTGACGGCATTCGGCGTTCTGGTAATGCTTGGCCCAATCTCTCTGCTTGTTTGCTTACGCGTTAGCCCTCCTACTTGCTCACCGACCTGCAGACCGGATGCATAAAAATCTGCTGCCAATAAGCGTACTACCTAATTCACTACATGGTCATTTACCCACTCAAGCGGGACGCAACAAACGGCTGTTTCAACTCTCGTGCAAAGTGCGTTAATCGGTCGGAGGACACAGGTGCACGGATTGACGTGAATTCTGAAACCATGGGGAATGCAAATGAAACCAGACCCAATGGATCTGTCTAGTTCAACCCCTATCGATACTAATTCGCACCCTGGTTTCAACTGCTGTTCAGCGACAACTCCAATGTCGTAAATAATGGCGAGCGCGCATCTACTACTCATTGTCCTTGCAATCATAGTCTACGTGAGTTTTCAACTTTACAACGCCTTCAACATTTCTATCTTCCTTCTACTTCTTCATCCCAAGGGGCAACCAGAAGACAGTAACCAAAACCACTGCAAGAAAGTGGATGGTTAATGGTTGTACAACAGCTACTTCACAGTGGTTGATAGAAAGGTACACTCCATCAGTCCGACAAACTCAACATATGCAGAGGAGAGCTGGGTAAGGTAAGCTCCAGAATCCATACAATGCATCATACTACATAAGACTGTAGTTGGAAATTGAGTATCGATCCAAGCGGCAACTGAACCACGTAGCAACAAGGTGGTGGCAGTGGAGTCTAATACAAGAGTTTCACAAACTGATAACTGGGTGAAAGCAAATCCGATCATCCAAATGACTTTACCGAATTGACCAAAGCAGGAGTCTCTCGAACCATCTACCCATAACGGCAATGAAAAAGTCACTGTTGCGAACAAGTGATACAGATTGTTAAAAAACACCCCATGAACTTTGCACGGAAACTAAACAAAGGTCGTACCTAACGATGAGATAACATAACCAACATACAAAAATAAGAGAATTGGACGCAACACAAAATTCCCGTACCTGATCGAATGCCACACCCAGATCAATGTGAACCAGTTCACCGGAGCGTCGATGGAGAAGAATATTTTGTGGATGTCGATCCCCCAAACCGACCAGATAGCCTACCAAACTGGACACAGCCAAGGAGCGTGTATACGCAGCTCGAGCCAAGCACCAATCCCGAACGTCCGGGAATTCTTCCAAGTAGAAGTAGGCCAGAACCGGTCTGTGTGATGAATAGACGAACAAAAAAAATACAAAAGCCGGAAAGTTCCCGAAAATCGTATTTGTATCATTTCATATAGGAAATGAACAGAAAAACAGAAAATAACGCCAGTACCCATTGGCGAACATTAGGAAATACGCACTACAATATGAAGTTAACAGCGAATCTGGAGGATGGATGTGAACTGGAGAAATTACGAGAAAGATTCATACTTGATAAATGCAGACGTACTGTGTGTTACAAAGATGGGAAACGATTATTTTTATATCACGGTAAATAATGAAGTCGATCGGATGGCTTATTGTTAAAATGGTCGACATTGTTGTTACGAAAATCGGAATCCGAGGTCTAGGGATTTATAGTGAGGTCGAGTTGACAGTGATCAGATCAAAGACAGAGCTGCCTACGAGTACAAACATAGCCGATCGGTGGACGTTTTGAAGTGTTCACAGTGCACCATCATGATCACAATTCACACTACTGATGTGACTTAAATTTCCCAGTTCAAGATACAGATGTGGAGCTCCATCAAAAGAATCCCGGTGTCAGGTTCCTTCATTACTTTTCTGGTATCTGAAGATGATTTGCCCTGGCATGTGTTGCTATACACGAGTTTTATTGGAGCTTGAGGTGTGAGCGACTGCGGCTGAATTTTGACTCAGAGCCACAAGAACAAATCGGTCTGCATGTGATCCAACTCTGTCTGACCTCAGTGAGAGATCATTCAGATATTATAAATTGACCGATACGAAACGTACATAGGTGATCATCAACAAAACCCGAGCAAAACCGCACATAGAAGTAAGGATTGATTGGGTAATTAATCGATTAGGTGAGATAAGATTTACGGTAAAATATTGTATCATAAGAGTCCATAAGTGAAGATAATATGAAAAAATATGCAGAATATAATCCATTCACTGGAACAAAAACATACTGGATAACTCACTTCAACCTTTCTGTGATTTCCTCGAACACCACACGTCGACGTTCCGGTGGACGATCCCGAACTGCGGCAAGGCGTTGCTTAGCCTCGGCCGGAGTTATATCCCGCGGCCGATAACGCTGATGCGCCCCAACTCGATCAGCAGCAAGCCATTCTCCTAAAGGAATAGTACCTTCACACCATTCAATCACACCGGTACGTTCAGCCATTGGTAAAACCTAGCCGTAGTCGATAGAAAAGAAGGGTGTGTGTGAATAGTTAGTTTGTGGAACATTCCATTGATCATCTGTCGTACGATGTAGTGACGGAAACAGATTACAGATTGCATGCGAATAATCACTTCGGTTGGCGTAGTAATACATTCTAAAGCCAAAATGGAAGC